GTCACCGGACGAGAGGTGAAAGTGTTATATAAATAGAAGCTGGAGACGAGTTGCAAAAACCAGAATGGAATAATGTCGCAAGAAGAGATGTACTCGTTTTTGCTTGGGAGGGTGAAAACTCTGTGGTCCGCCGACTCGATCGTTGTCGAGAACGTGTTGCGCGCGTTGGGTAATAGCAAGACGGAAAAGGTGACGATGTCGACCGAAATTAGAACCGACATGATACTACAATTGACTCTCTTGAAAAAGAAGTTCGGTTCCTTGAAAATTTTGATGCTCGTCATAACAAAGATGCAACCTTCGAGCTCGAAATTACACAGAGATCGGATGCGAAATTCCAAAAAAGAGGGAACCCAACAAGCCGGTTCGAAGTCTGCCAACAAACTGCGCGAAACAATTTTCCGTCGTCGGATCGAGATGTGTATAAGAGACAGCACCTACACTTGAAATCGACGGCGAGAGAATGCGAGACGATCCTGAAAGGTGCGACCCATTGTTAATTGTTTCAATGAAGGTTGAAAATTTGAACCTTGTGTGCCTTTTGTGTTTCTTTTTTAGCGAATGTCGGCATAAGATCTGACCTCCTAGTATTATAGAGGGCAATCTACATGTTTCTACGTATGTCAGCGCAATAACAACAACAAAAAACTTACACGAGCATAATTATTTTTTTTATATTTTACGTAATTTATTCATTCAAACGTCGAATAATGTACAATTACTATTATCTTGGATGCTGTACATTTTTTTCTTCTCCATCACAGATGTGTATAAGAGACAGCCAGGAAACGTCGTCGTAATGCAAGAGTTCGAAATGTTCTGTCGAGTTCATGGATAAGCACGGCAACAAGACGAAGACTATCAGCACGGGTTCGATGGGCCTCATGTACGAACCAAACCTCGGAGAGCTGGGCAACTACGTGACGTCCGAGGAGAAGCAGAAGAGGATGCAGACCACCGGCTGCAACCAGATGTTCGAAGAACGGGTCGGTACGACGGACGTGAACGCAGCCAGTTACTCGTTTAACCTCAACGGAATCTACAATCCCGAAAACGGGCCGTTCAGGATGGCGAAGATGGGACTGGTGGCCATCTTGATAGACGCCCTGTTCTTCCACCACGCGGCGATTGCGTGGATGTCGCACCCTAGCTACAAGGAGTGTCACGACTCCGGCGGCAATTTGAACGTCGATCGATTCTTAGCCGGATTCGTGAAGAGATTCAGGGGTCGTTACGGATCGAAAGAGGTAACGGACGGTGCCGGCGTTTACAAGAAATTCAAGCTTCCAGTCGAGATGCCCGCAGATCAAGATGAAGACGGGCACCAGCTTCAGAAAGCCGAACGACCTCGCTCGGTCGCGCAGTTCAATGGAGGAAAACAATCCGGATCTCAAACACGTTTCTGATTGGGCGAAGAACGCCTTCCTCGAAAACGCCGACACGGACAGGAGGTACAAGAACTTGCCAGTCGCCGACCTGATACCCGGTCTGCCACCGAAGCCGATGTCGGGTAAGCGGCGGTCCGAGATAGTCAAGGGAGATCTGGCGCGCGTGAGCTTCAACGTGGTCTGCTACTCGGACAAGTCGACGCCGACCAACAGGTTCCTCGTTCTGTACTGTCCAGTCGCCGTGGACGTGACGCGCCGCTGCCTTTTCGTTGGTCCCGTATCCGACTCGGACGCCAGCTACGACGAATTCTTCTCGAGACCAGCCATCGAGTCCCCCGACACCATAGTGGCGATCGTTGCCGGCGTGATGGAGAGGGAATCTTTGACAGACTCGGAGGCGTGCGTGTTGGCCGGAATTGATCGCACCGACTATGAGGAAGCACTTGAGTTGGTGGAAGCCGCTAGATTGGAGATGATGGAGGAGAAACACATCGATTACGCCGTCGACAAGGATAAAGGGAACGAGAACATGGACGAAGACGCAGACTCGAACAAGGAAAACATCCCCCCTTGCAACGGAAAGCGTGACTCCGATTGCGACGAGGTGGTGAAGAAGAGGAAGAAGAAGAAGCTGTTCTCAAACCTCAGTAATACACAGTTGTAAAAAAAAGAAACATAAATCGATAGAAATTAGTTCGATAAAAACTAAGATAAATTAAAATTGAGGTCAATAAAAGTGTTTACGAAAAAAAAAATATTGTGTTCACTTGTCGTTATTCTTTCGAGTTTTCGTATATACAAAGACCGCTTTGGAATAACCGGCATTGCAGAAATGAAGGCCGTCGCGAACGCTGCCGCGTCAATTTCGGAGGTACAGGCACGCAGATTCTCGCTGAGACCATGGCAAATGAAACTGACGATGCACCTGAGGAAGCGGCCGCATCCGAGAGCGATCCTTTGGTGTTACGATCCGAACGGTGATTCCGGGAAGAGTTTCATGGCTACATACCTTGCGGCGGTCGAGAACGCGATAGCCTTTCGTTCATGCGAGACGCACGAGTACACGTACGGGTACGGGGGTCAGAGGATAGCTGTGTTCGATCTCGACCGCCGCCAGAGGAGACGCGTCGATTACGAAGTGCTGGAAGGTATCAAGACCGGTCTTGCTTTCGGTGCGGATCGTTTCGCCCCGACCAAGTTCTTCGAATTCGTGCCGCACGTCGTCGTGTTCGCAAACTTTCCGCCAGATCGGCGCGCAAGATCCGACGGCGAATGGCACGTTCTGGAGATCACGACAAACGAAGAATGTCACTGTTGCTATGAGATTAGGGACAATAAAAAATAAATATCCGAGCAAAAAAAAAAAAAAAATAAAAAACCAAAAAAAAAAAAAAAAAAAAAAAAAAAATGTATTCTATATATTTTTTTGGTATTAATTAGTGTACCCACGCAAAAGTAAAACACACTATGGACTCATAATTCACATTTAATATTTTTTTTTATTGATATCCCTTCATCGTCAAACATTTAAACTATTCACAACTTGATCGTAAGTTGGAGGTGCTTCGAATCCGGAGATGCGGACCACGACCCGAGTGTGACGATCGGAGGTAACGTCTCTCCAGTCATTCGCGAATTTCTTCCACAGGCTCGCGATCCAGTACAGCCACAACCCGTTCACGGAGTTGAGACAAACGAGAAGGCACCATAAGACGCCGATGCTGAACTCTCACAGCTGACTCGACGTGGATTTCTCGTGGAAGATCGACGACGCAGAAACAAGAAACGCCGGAAGTACCAGGTTGAAAACTATCGTGAAGAGAAAGTGGAGGTTGACGACCGTTCGAAAAGATCTTTTCCTC